AGAGTCGGACTCGACTGGCTTTCAAGCAAGGGAACCTTTACCTTTACCTTATTGACAGGAATGTGCACTAATTAACAATGCATCCAGCAGAGATTTAACTTCGACAGAAGTGGAAAAGGGGGCTGAAATCAAAAGAACTGCAGATTTAGTATACTAGTACTAGAATTAGGCATCTCCCAAAGGCAAAATAGGAGCACAAAACTGATCCCAAAAAATAGCAGCTGTCCCTGGCAAGTAGTAGTCATAAAATTTTATTGCAGATGGCCAAAGGCTCTTACATTCCTTAGTTTAATTAAGAATATGTGGAAACAAAGATTAACAAAAGAGAGGGAGAAAACACAACAATACAAATAGATTAGATAAGAGGAAGCAAAATGAAGATATGCTGGACAAAAAACACAAATCAAACTGCCATGAATTCGGACTCGAGCACAGTTTTAGCTTGGATTTTCATTGCAACCAATGCATACAATGAGATCATGTGGGTGAAGATGCAGGTCGATCGCAGCTAGAAGAAAAATAATGCCCTCTGCTGCTGAAGCCAGGTCAAGGCTGGCTCAAATTATTGCAGAAATTTCGATCTAGTATTCAGATAGAGATGATGGGATGTGACAGACTACATTTTAAATGCCGTTTTTCTAATGCAGCAAAATCAGAGGAGGGAGGTGACAAGTTAACTCTGCTCTAGAATATTGAGCTTCAGTAACAGGCTACTCCTTTTCTCTGATTGGCTAGCGACAGCCGAGGAATACTATATAGTCAGTCAGGCAGTCAGAGAGGCAGTCCAATGGCAATTACTGTTCAGTAAACTAAGAATTCAGCTACAAGAGTGGATGTCTGAAAAGTCTGACTAAAAGTCTGTCACACAGATTCACCTTTTGAATAAAGGGAGAGACTCCTGATCTTAACTTTGTTAAACATAACTTGAGAGAGAATTCCATCTAAGAATTCAGAGTCTAGTATCAGCTTAAGCTGAATTACATTTTCACACAGATGCCAAGAACTGGGGTTTGAGATTTTGGCAAACAGTGACTGGGTAGCAGGCTGAAGCTCCCAAATAGGCCAAAAAGGAATTGGATTATATTGTCAGGGAAGAAATATAAGTCCTGTCCAGTTATACAGGGAATTGGCACTGAGGCAGTCCCTGGTCTGTTGTGAAAAGAAATGGTTATAGACTACTCAGGGGAAAGAAGACACACTGTCATTTCAGAAAAGGGGAAAGAATTTGATACACTAAAAGACTGATCTTTCCAGAAAACCTGAACTGTTATCAGGAAACTATATGCAGAAATATTGTAACCGAAACCAAAGTACTTAGTCAACCATCTTTCACTGATAAGAACCATGCATTTGTGAAAATAAGCTGCTACAACACCATCTTGTCTGCCAATTGAAAAACATACCAACAACGTTTCCTTCAGCCTTTCCAGCTCTTGACTACTCCATATTAAATAAAATCTTTATTATTGTTCACTGTTACGGAGTCTCCAATGCCATTTCAAGGGATCTAAAAAGAGGGCTCCTATTTTCTCTTGGGCTGGGCAAAAGCCTAATTAGACTCTGTCACAGATTTATAAAGCCGCAAATATTATCACGCTACTGGGGGCCAGCTCAGTAACGGAAGGGAATGAAGAATTTTGGTGGGAAAAATCTGTCCCAGAGTGGGGAGAGTAATAGGGGTCTGTCATATGGGACAAACCATGAGCAAGGTCCTCTAAATTCTAGGGCTCCACAGGGAAATAGGCGCTGGACAACAGGTTTTCAGGTGTACTGAAAAAAATTGTGGTGTATGCACTGAGTATGGGGAGGGGGGAGATGTGACTTTAGCGTATTTAAACTAAGTTAACACAGCATTTCGCTTGCTAGGCTCTGCATAATAAAATGTACATTCCAAGAAGGACAAAAAACAGAAGTTCCCCTAAAGCATGCCACACACATGAATGTCACAATCATCAAAGTACTATAAACTCCTCTACATGAGGATATAGTTCCCTGAAACTGCTCCAATCTATTTTAAGATGAATTGCATAAACCCTGATGTTGCGACAGAACTGCAAAATAGAAAAATAGTTCTATCAAACATAGAGTTAAGTATAATACTAAATGGCTCAAAATCCCTGTTAATCACATTAAACCTTCTGTGAAACACTAGCAATTTTCAATGATAATCTAAGTAGATAATAATTACATGCTGCCAAGTTGCAACTGACTTATGGCAACCAGTCATGGGGTTTTCAAGGCAAGAGATGAACAGAATAGTTGCTGTTCCAGGTCATATTCGGGATGGTGCGGCTTGGCCAGTCTTATACGGCCCCGTTTAAATTGACCACTCACACACAGTTTCTTTGGAAATTAAGTGGATAAAATTGGCCACAACTTTATTGATTACAGCTGTTATAGGCATTGGCACAGCATGGGTCCGCCGGATCCGACCCGTCATCCGGCATGGATAGAGACTGCGGGATGGCAGGTTGCCTGGCGGTGAGGGCAGCCGCTGTGAGTCCTTGCGTTTGCTTACTCCCTTCAGCCCTCACGCCAAGACCCTTACAGGGGTCCCCACCTCTGGAAATGGCACACAGGCCGATTTCCGCCAAACGGATCAGGCCCCATGCTGTCACCGCCAAGAGTTGTGACGGACTGTGTACCCTGAAACTAAAACTGCAAACTAACAACAAACAAACCAAGAATGACCCTCTACCTCCAGTACCAGCACCCAGCCTGCTATGTCCTTCCCCCAAGAGGCCCAAAAAATCAGGGAGGGATGGGCCGGCAAGCAGCTCCCAGTCGCCGATGGTTGAAAAGGGGGGGGGGGACAGCGAGCGGCCAGGCCTACCTATAACCAGGCCCCTCCCTCCGGCCACCCTGCTGCCAGGCCATTGGCCTGGGGAGGGATGGGAGGTGCCTACTTTCCAGCTGCTCGCCCGGCCCCACCCACCTCCGACCCGGTGACTGGCCAGCTTACTCCCTTCAGCCCTCACGCCAAGACCCTTACAGGGGTCCCCACCTCTGGAAATGGCACACAGGCCGATTTCCGCCAAACGGATCAGGCCCCATGCTGTCACCGCCAAGAGTTGTGACGGACTGTGTACCCTGAAACTAAAACTGCAAACTAACAACAAACAAACCAAGAATGACCCTCTACCTCCAGTACCAGCACCCAGCCTGCTATGTCCTTCCCCCAAGGGCCGGCAAGCAGCTCCCAGTCGCCGATGGTTGAAAAGGGGGGGGGGACAGCGAGCGGCCAGGCCTACCTATAACCAGGCCCCTCCCTCCGGCCACCCTGCTGCCAGGCCATTGGCCTGGGGAGGGATGGGAGGTGCCTACTTTCCAGCTGCTCGCCCGGCCCCACCCACCTCCGACCCGGTGACTGGCCAGCCTCCTCCTCCCTTGCCCGGCCCCACAAATGGCGGACCTCGCTTACCCGGGCCCTTTCTGCTTTGTGTTGCCTTCCTCTGCATAGCAGCGCAGGTCTTCCTTCATTGTCCTCCATCCAAGTACTGACCAGGGCCAATGCGGCTTCTATTCCAAGCTCTGACAAGCTCAGAGCTAGATACAGGTGGGTAGCCATGTTGGTTTGAAGCAGAAGAACAAAGTTTGAGTTCAGTGGCATGGTATGTGTGGTACTATGAGCATAAGAATGTAAGAAGAGCCCTGCTGGATTAGACCAAAGGTTCATTTAGTCCACTGTCCTATTTCACACAGTGGCCACGGAGTTGCCCTGAAGAACAAATAAACAGAGCAAAGGGGTCAAGGCACTTCCCTGATGTTAGCTCCCAGCACTAGTCTTCAAAGGTTTTCAAACTCTGGATGTGGAGGTTCCCTTGAGTCATCTAGTATGGCAGGGCTATTTTTGGGCAGGAACGCACAGGAACGGAGTTCCGGCTGGCTCCGGAGTTCGCCACGCCCAGCAGGAACTCATTAGCATAATAGGCCACACCCAACAGCAGGAACTCATTAGGATTAGCTACATTAGGGGTGTGTGGCCTAACAGGCAAAGGAGTTCCTGCTACAAGAAAAGCCCTGGGTTTTGACAACAAACAAGGTCAACAGAATAAGAAGCAAAAGGTGTGTGTGGCTGGATAACCACACTTCTGGTAACATGGGGGTGCGGCCTAATGTGGTAATGAGCTGTGCTGTCAGGGATGTAGACTAATATGCTAATGAGTTCCTGCTGTTGGGTGTGGCCTATTATGCTAATGAGTTCCTGCTGGGCTTTTTTTACAAAAAGAGCCCTGATTATGTGCCATTTCTTAAACAAAGGACTCACACCAATCAGTGTTTGGGCTGAAGAAACCTGCAACTCAGTAGCATCTTCTTCTTCCCAAACCAAGACATTGATCAATTTGTTAATTATCATTTATGCTAAGTTGTATATGTTCAGTAATGCAAACAGGCTTTCTTATACTAGCTCTTTGTTGATCTCCTGCTCTCAGTTTTGTCACAGTTTGGCTCTTAAATGGTAAAAGGCTGCTGACCACTGCTATGGAACATTTTTGTTGCTTACGGGTCTAAATTTACACTTTTCAATTTATACGTGATTTTCGGGGTCTTCTCATACATATAGAAAGGATTTTTTAAAATCCCAGTACAGTTGAATGCCTCACTTAATCCTGTGTAAGGAATGTTGTTATGTTATAGCAAGTGGTCAGTGAACTATCTCCGTGACCTCCAGTTCTGCTTCATAAATTAAAATTGTAGAGAGTTCCGTGGAACACCAGGGAGATACAAATATTCTTGGATCCTGGCTTAACAAAGAGAGCATTGGGGCCTGCCCAGGACCATCCCCTACAGCCTCTAGGACCAAAGCCAGTCCTTGCATTCCAATCGTCTAAAGGCGATGAGCTTTAGCCCAGAGCTTTTGATAGGCTGGCTTTAGACCTCCTATTCTTTGGCTCTTAGGTTTGCTTGTTCCATAACCTTTGTGTCTTATGGATTTGCTGGCATTTCCTGGTGAGTTCCATGGAACTGGGACTTGGCTCCTTTTCACTATAAAAGTGAATGAGTAGCTGAGAGTGATACGAAGAGTGGGGCAGAGCCTCACTTTGTCAATTCGAGACTGGGCTACCAAAGGTAAGAGATTATTGCCGTCTGGTACTATTCAGCTATGCTTGCTGAGCCAAACTCTGATCATATGTGCCCTCTGAGCCAAGCAACTATCCACCTAAACTCCATTTAATGATCAGAGGCAGAGATCCTGCAAATATTCCCTGCAGTGGAAAGCAAACCTAGCTCTTTAGCTATGATTTCTGTCCCTTTTGCTTTGCAAGGGCCATAACCTCCTTCCTTTCCTTGTTTCTCACATCAGCTCCTTTGTCCAGTTTGGCCCAAGCTTGTCAGGGTTTGGGAGACAAGCAGAGTCAGCTGCAGTCAGTACTTGGATGGGAGACCACCGAAGAAGACTGAGGCTGCTACGCAGAGGAAGGGAGTGGCAAACCACCTCTGCTCATCTCTTGCCTGGAATGCCCTGTGGAAGGAATTGCCATCAGTCGGTTGCCACTCAGTGGCATCTTCTTCCCAACCCAAGATCTCAGAAATTAACAGTGCAATCCTATGCAAAATTACTGCAGTCTAAAACCACTGATTCCAATCAGCTTAAATTGGAGTAACTCTGCATCAGATTGCACTGTCAGCTGGCTTGGAGCAGAGTGCCGTTTATCTGATTCTCTAGAATCCCACACCATTGCTTTCCAGTTATTTTTTGAGTGCCCTATCCAAAAGCAAAAGATTCAAATCTTTACAACCCTAAATGTCCTCTAGCATGCAAGGAAATCCATTCTTCCACATCATCCTCTATACTCACCTCTCTGCATCAGATTGCACTGTCAGCTGGCTCGGAGCAGAGTGCCAGCCCTATCCAAAACCAAAAGATTCAAATCTTTACAACCCTAAATGTCCTCTAGCATGCAAGGAAATCCATTCTTCCACATCATCCTCTATCCAAAGAGGTTCTGCTTCAATTGCCCCAGCTTTATCTCTGAGTATAAGAAAGAGCTCAGCTTCCGATATGATGGGATTTGCAACTAAGAATGATGTCCCTGGGTTCCCTTAGGAGAAAGTTCACTTGAATTTAAGAAAGGTGATTAAAAAAAAACTTTATTTTTTAAAATGGCTCTGGAGACAACAGGTAGACACTGTGTTTATGGTGGTTATATTTTTTGCATTGTATTTTATATTGCTATAGCTTGATCACTTAATGTGTTTATTTGATCTGGACGTATTGTGATTCCATTATGCTGTGGTCTGCTTTAATTGCATGTTCTGTGATTTTATGACAGCTTCCTATTTGGCCAGGAAAAACTGCACACCAATTTTTTTTTGGGGGGGGGGCTCAAATAATAAGGGAGTTGGAACCATTTGAGAGAAGCTTTGCTTTTTGGTGAAACGTATACAAATGAAGCGGCCTCCAACTAAGTCAGACCCTCGCATTGCCTACTCTGACTGGGAGTAGCCTAGATCCACAGTCCATGGCAGGCTTTCACACCAGGACCACCCACTCTCTGGATACATGCAGCTGCCTTATACTGAATCAGACCCCTGGCTCCATCAAAGTCAGTATTGTCTACTCAGACTGGCAGCAGCTCTCCGGGGTCTCATATCACCTGCTGCCAGGATCTAACTGGAGACGCCAGGGTTCACACCTGGGACTTCCTGCACATATATCAGATGCCTTGTCACTGAGCCACAATCAGAGGTTTCTTGCTCACATCTGGCCAAACCGACTTTGAAATGGTACAAAATCCTGGGAAACTTCTTTACAAAGTCCCACCCCCCCTAAAAACCAGTATCTGTTTCTAGCCCTGTATAAATGTAGCAAGACCTGCAACAGGATTCTGGCTGATTTCTTTTCCCAGGACAGAGAAGCCAAGCTTGTAGGACAAAACCAGGATCAAACTGCTTTGTATCTAATCTGAAGTCTTGATCGTGGTGTCTGTGTAGCAGGTGCTGCTTAAAGAGGTTTTTTATCACCTCTAACTTGAGCTCTATGAGTCCTTTCACCCAGCCCGTGGCCTTTGATATCCTGCCGGATTCCAAATGAGCTTTAAAAATAATGGATCCATATTTTCTCTCATCAGGCCCGTAGCCAGGAATTTTGGGGGGGCGGGTAAGGTGCACTAATTTAATGAATGGATCTAATTAAATTCTCTGCAGCCTTCCCATCATCTTTTGCCTGCAAAAGCAAAACCCTCCCCACCCAGCCACAAAGGAACAGAGCCTTTCCTCCTTTCCGCACCCCCCCATCCCTTGCTTGGCCTCTCCAGCAAGCAGTTTGGCGGTTTTAATCCTTTCAGTGCTGTGGACAAAGGAAAAATGTGTCCTGTCCTCTCCCAGGAGGGAGCTCCTCGCCTCCTCCCCTGCCACCCTGCCACCCTGGCTCCCCTCCGTCCCTTCCCCTTCCGGAGCACCAGCGGGCACCTGGCCACGCTCGCCTTGCCCAGCACAGCTGCCGCGGGAGCCTCAGAAGCAGCCATGAGCCGGGCAACCTTGCCGTCTTCTCCAGCTGCCACATCTGGAGTGTGACGGCAAAGGGGTTGGGAATTTTGGGGGGGGGCATTTTGATAGTGGTGCCCCTGGTGTGATAGGGGGCACCACCTGCTGTGTCCCCGGCTGCCTACGGCCCTGTCTGTCACTTTCTCATGGTGAGAAAACCTTCCTTCTGTAAAGGCATAAAGCTTCTTTCTGCCAAAAACAGCACTTTGTTCTGAAATGTCCATATCAGTTGACACGCCAAGGGGGTCCTAGACGCTTGTGCAAACATTAAGGTGTTCTCTCCTTGTCATAGCCCACCCTCCCTTTCTGGTGTGTCCATAAACCAGCCTGATTCATTCACGCTTCAATGCATCCAATGAAGTGAGCTCTGAGTCATGTAAATAAACATTGTCCATCCCTAAAGGGCCATTGGCCTCCTGTTTCATCTTCTCACCCTGGCTTCCTCAACTTTTTGGGAAAAAATATATAAAATATTTTTAGACCTTCTAAAAACTAATATCCCGTTAATTCCTGAAACATATCTACTTAACGTGATACCGGACACAATAAAAGAACACAACCATATAATTACCTATATTTTAACAGCGGCAAGAATATTGATAGCAAAGCGTTGGAAAACTAATAGTATACCATCTATAAAAGAACTTAAGTATAAAATCCTGGAAGTTGCAGAAATGGACAAATTAAACATAGAGTTACAAAATAAATCGGAAGAACTTTTCTGGGACAGGTGGAGAATAATTTACGACTGGCTGAAGAGAAAGAAGATAGTTTGAATATGAATTTAGGCTAGTTAGAAGAGGACAATGTTATAGAAGAGAGAAAAATGTTATCTTATGAAATGTATAAGAGTGGTACGAATATGTGGAATGAAAAATGGAAACAAATTGAAAAATAAATTTATTAAAAAAACAAAAAAACCCTCCTTGTTTTGCAGCCATGGCGATGCTGAGGGCCCTGCTCCTCTTGACTGGGTTGGTGCTGCTGAGCGGTGAGTGAATCTTCAGGTCCTCCTTCGCTCTCCAGTGAGCTTGTGGCTTCATACTTCCCTGCCGGGAAATCTCCCCATATTCTTTACACTCTCCAAAAGATAAGCCCTTATGTCCACACAACGTGAGCTCCCGCCTTTAAAAAGTTGTATAAATATTTGCATTCCCTTATTTCAGTTAGTCCAGAAAGAAACAGATCAATATTCTACACGAATTAGCAAAGAACGCAATGCATATGCAACATTGCAAGGACCAAAGTCAGATATTTCTATCGCTACACAATGAAAAAACAGCACTTAGAAAGGAACGAATTAGCTCTATCCCCCCCCCCTTTTGATGTGACCATGAAATTGGATACAAGCAGCCCTCCCTTTCCCCGCAACAATTCTACTTGGATCCAAATAATGCCTTTGTTTAATCGCTGAGAATTTCACAAACATTGTGCAATAGTTCATTTGCTTCAACTATTTAGCAATCGCATGTTTCACTGCAGCCACGGGAACCACCTGCTTTGCACAATCCTGAGCAGACCAACAAGATTTCTGGGGTACCTGACAAAGGGAGCTTTGGCCCTTGAAAGCTCATACCCCAAACATTTTGTTGATCTCCCAGGTGCTACTGGGCTGGAATCTAGCTGTTCTACTGCGGACCAACATGGCTACCCCCTGAAACAGTCTTAAGCACAGTCGAAAAGGTAAAGGTTTCCTTTGCTCCAAAGCCAGTCAAATCCTACTCTAGGGGGTGGTGCCCATCTCCGTTTCCAAGCCAAAGAGCCAGCGCTATCCAAAGACGTCTCCGTGGTCACGTGGCCGGCATGACTAGATGCTGAGGCGCACGGAACGCTGTTACCTTCCCACCAAAGCAGTGCCTATTTATCTGCTTGCAATTTCTTGCTTTCGAACTGCTAGGTTGGCAGGATCTGGGACCAGAGACGGGAGCTCACTCCGTCACGTGGCACTCGGGTCTTGAACTGCCACGCTACAGACCTTTCAGTCTGCAGCTCAGCGTCTTAACCTCTGAGCCACCGTGGCCTCTAATGGCAGACTTACACTCATCTAAACCCACTGACCTCAGTGGAGGTGTAAGTCTGCTTTGGATTGCATTGGTAGTACAGCAGCGACTGAGCTCTAGCAGCAAGGGCTGAATGCACAGTAATGATGGCTGCTTCTTTACAGAGGGTGGAAATGAGAGGGACTGAGGCTCCAGGCTCAAGGACACTGTCCTGTGAGTAAGCCTCACTGAGAGCTCTGGAGGGCCTTGCATTCAGCAGACCAACATTTGCTGGTTGTCCCCGACCCAAAGGACATCTGCTTAGTTTCAATCAGGGCCAGGGCTTTTTCTGTCCTGGTCCCAGCCTGATAGAACATGCTCCCACCAGGGATCAGGACCCTGTGGGACCTATTTCAGTTCTGCAGGGCCTGTAAAACGCAGCTGTTTTGGCAGGCCTTTGGTGCCCAATTATTCCATCTACTGGCCTCCCTTGCTGAACCTTCCATCTTTGAATGGCTCATCAGATGAAGACCGTCTGGCCTACGGCCTAGTGCAGTGGTGGCAAACCTATGGCACAGATGCCAGAGGTGGCACTCAGAGCCCTCTCTGTGGGCACACGTGCCATCACCCCAGCCAGGCCCAGACCACCATTAAAGTGTCGAATTCTCTGCCAAATAATTTTAAGTAAATGAAAGCATTTGGGATTGCTTTACTTACTTTGTTTGGATCATCTTAAGTTAATGTATGGGTTGTTTTTTCTAAAGTAAAACCTCAGTATTCAGGTTAAATTGCCGTGTTGGCACTTTGCGATAAATAAGTGGGTTTTGGGTCGCAGTTTGGGCACTTGGCCTCTAAAAGGTTCGACATCACTGGCCTAGCGGCTCCAGTTTTTGAGGTTATTATGCTAAACTGCAGTGCTATCTGTCTTTAGTTTGTAGCTTATTTTTAATTGTGAAATATACTAGTTCACATTTATGTATATTGTGAAATATTTATTGTGAAATGTTTTAACTTCTGTTGTGGATTCTTTGCTGTCATCCACTCTGAGCCCACTTGTGGGAAGGGCGGAATACAAGCCAAAAATAAAAAAATAAAAAATAAAAACAGGGACTTAAAAAAGAAATAAAAACAGGCCAGTTTGGTGTAGTAGTTAAGTGTGCGGACTCTAACTTGGGAGAACCGGCCAGACACATGACTTTCACCTTTTGAGGCCTCACAAACATCTTTGTCAGGTGTCTTTAGATCTTGCTGCTTAACCTTCCTCTTCCTGGTCCATTATTCACTTGGTTATCTTTAGAGTTGCCAAGTCGACTTACCCGCAAAGCGGGGGGATTCCTGGCTCCGTCGGGAGTCTCCCCGTGCGTGCCACAATGACGTCACCGGAAAGTGACGTCATCGCGTCGCCCACGATGGGGGCAGGGGCACAGTGACTCGAGGGAAAACCATAGAGTTTTCCCTCGATTCACAGAGTGTCCCCCCCACAACGTGGCCAGCGTGATGATATCTTGCTGCTTAAGTAAGTAATATAGCCATTTTTATCACATTGTAAGTTAAAAAAATATTTGATTATTCATATTCAATATTCTTTTTATCTCTTTTCTCTACAGCCTTTCTCTTCCTAGTCCAATATTCACTTATTGGTTATCTTATTGCAATATGTATTTAAGTTATGTGTACCTCAATATTGTTTGACCTCTGAAGAAGCCCCCAATAGGGCAGAAACGTGTCAGGTCATGTGTATTGGCCCTTGTGGTTAGGCTATAGTTTTTTGCCAGCATTGAAGAGTAGGTTGATTTTTGTATTTTGATGGGTATTGAGTTGCTTTTCATTTCTTCTATATCTTGCCATTTCGGGGGAATTTCCGATATTAAAATTCTCACTAAAGGGGATAACTGTGTGGCCTCATAATATAAAAGAAGAAGATCAGGAAAGTCCAGGCCACCCGACTTGTCCTTGAAGAGGAAAGTGCGGTATCCTGTTTAAAGTCCCATGCTTCACATCCATAGTTTCTGCTACTGAATAGGATTTCTCAGCTTCAGGAACTCCATGTTGCATGTATAGCTCCTCTCTTAATGGGATTCTTCCTAGTTTTTACTGCATCGTTTCCTAATTTCTTTCATTCGGATTTTGCATTTCTTATGACGTTCCTTATACTCTTTTTTTATCGCATGGTTTTCTTGTATTCCAGTCTTATTACTACGTTTATTATAACCTTCTTACTCTTCCTATTGCATTACTAAATTTTGTCATCTGCCTTGTGTCTAGGGGTGCCAAGCCCCTAGTTGGGTCAGGAGAGCCCCCGCCCTGAGCTCCCTTTTCCTGCTACCACTTTGAAGGCCGGGAGGGGAGTAAAAAAAAACCCTCATTGGCATTATGAGTGCGATGACATCACTTCTGGCAATTCCTGGAGCTACTGCCATCAAGTCTGGGTTTTCCTCAGAAGTGACATCATCACATGTGCAATGCTGCGCCGCCCCACCCCCCAGCACTTGAGTCAGCCTGGCCACCCTTCTCGAGCCTGTGAGAAAGCCAGACTATAAATAAAGCACATTAGCAAGAGTCAGGGGTAGTTTTGTAGAAAAAGAGCTAGGGGAACTCATTAGCATAACTCATTAGCATATGCCACACCCCCTGACATCAGGGGCCCGGCGGTAGACCTGCAAGGCCGGCGGGAGTGCGAGGAAGCCCCGCCAAGGCCCTCCCTGGCCCCAGGCAGGCAGGGGTGGGGAGAGGCAGGGAGGAAGCAACTTACCCTCCCTCTTCTCCTGCCTCTTCCTGGCTGAATGAGGGCTGGAAGCAAGCGGCCGGACGCAAGGGGCGGGGCTTCGTCGTGTGCCCCGCCCCCTCGCACCTCACCCAGGGGAACTGCGATCCTCCGCGATCCGCCCCGAAATGACCTCTGACAAGAGTGCAGATACACACCCAGAACTTTACACGTGTGTATGCTCCCAAGCTGCACTTTCCCCTCCCAGCTGAGAAAATGGGGAGCGAATGCTAGATGCAGAATCGCCCACTGATTAGACATTGATTAGACATTGATTCTTTTCTATATAATCTCCTTTCTCCCCGTATAGCTCCCCCTATATACGCTCAGGGGGAATGGTGGGAAATGGTGTCTCTCTTCATTTTGGTATTGGTTAGGCTTCTTTAGTGGGTCTAATGATAGGGCGTTTTGGAGGTCATTAATTCATAGGGTTGCCATAAGTTGGAAGCCATTTGAGAGCACATCACACACACACACACACACATTCTTATTTCTTTTTGTTTTGGTCTCCGCAGGTCATTGCAGAGCAGGATTCTACGGTCGAGAATTCATCACTGCTCTCATGGAGAATTATGACCCAAAACACTCCCCTCCTTCAAGCTTCCAGCTGTTCATCACCAGTGACCACGAGTCTACCAGAGTCAATGTGAGAATGAACAAATCTCCAAACCGGAAAAGTTATTCACTTACAAAGGGGGAAATGTTGCCTGTGGAGATCCCAGAGTCTGCAGAAGTGAGAGGCAGCAGCACATCCGACCATTCCATTCTGATTCAAGCAGAAAATGACATTTCTGTTGTCCTAGTGTACAGAAAGTTATATTCTGTGGGAACCATGACAGTGTACCCAGCACAAGAGCTTGGCACGGTATATTACGTGGTAACCCCATCTGGGAGCGAATCAACAAAATACTTAAAAGAATTTGCAATCATAGGGGGGCAAGTTCCAACAACAGTTGATATTTATTTGAAAGCAGAGGTTTCGTTCAATGGACGGTCACATCCTGCAGGGAGCATACTCCGTGTTTCTCTCGAGGCTCTACAGGTCATCCAGCTTCAAAGCTTAGGTGATCTGTCTGGGACCATGATACGGTCGGTGAATCCTGTGGCAGTCCTGAGTGGGCACGTCTGTGTTCTAGAAAACTCATACTGTGATCATGTTGTTGAACAGCTACTGCCAGTCTCTGGCTGGGGCACTTCATTCATTGTCCCCCCCATCTTCTTCCAAACTGATTCAGACATTGCATATGTCGTTGCCGCCCAAAATACTCATGTCGAGTATCAGCAGGGGACTCGAAAAAGATCTCTGGACATGGTGGCTGGGGAAGTCAGGAAGTTTGATGTCAGATTCCCTCAGGCACTTTACATCTCTGCCGATGCTGGAATCCAGGTCCTTTTCTTCTTCACCGGCATCAACAGCAGAAAGAGGGTCTTTGATCCGTTCCTCATCAACATCCCGGCCATAACAAGCTATGGCCAATCTTACCATGTTGACAGGATAAGCAACTTTGAGAACAGTGTCGTTCTCATCGCAAAAAGATCTGCAACACTCAGCATGACTAAAGATAAGCAACCTATCCATGGCATTCAGTGGAGAGCAGTTCCTGGGACGCTCTATTCATGGGGCACATACAACTTGGAAGCAGAAGCCCAGTCGCTGTCCTTAGAGCATCCTGAAACTCCCTTTGGTGTCTTGGTCTTTGGTGGCAAAGAGTACGAAGGCTACGGTTTCGCTCCCCCACCTCTGTCCTCATCTGGTAATTAATTCCATGTGGTTTAAACAGACAGTTATCCTTGTTCTCAGCATCTACACCTAATTCCTTCCTTTGAGGTTGGGTATACCATACTATTATAATTAGGGCTATTTTTGGGCAGGAACGCACAGGGTCGGAGTTCCGGCTGGCTCCCAAGTTGGCCACGCCCAGCAGGAACTCATTAGCATAATAGGCCACACCCAACAGCAGGAACTCATTAGGATTGGCTACATTAGGGGTGTGTGGCCTAACATGCAAAGGAGTTCCTTCTACAAAAAAGCTCTGGGTTTGGACAACAAACAAGGTAAACAGAATAACAAGCAAAAGGTGGGTGTAGCTGGATAAGCACACTTCTGGTAACATGGGGGTGCGGCCTAATGTGCTAATGAGCTGTGCTGTCAGGGGTGTGGCCCAATATGCTAATGAGTTCCTGCTGGGCTTTTTCTACAAAAAGAGCCCTGAATAATGTTTTGGACATTTAAGGGGTGTTATGGCCTTGTTGGGAGACAGAAATGTGCTAGATGAATGGCTGTAACTCAGCCTGCATCATGGATGTTCCTTCTCACTTTTGAGGCTGTAGATATGTTTAAGGTTATGAGAAGCTGTGCTTCCTTTACAAAAAACTACACCTGCCTGACAATGCAGGGTGGCCTCTAGCAATGCTGGCCTTCGTCACCAGGCACCTCTGTTGTTTAAGGTTATGAGAAACTGTGCTTCCTGTACAGAAAACTACACCTGCCTGACAATGCAGGGTGGCCTCTAGCAATGCTGACCTTTGTCACCAGGCACCTCTGTTGGGCCAGGGCCCCTCCCAACCCCCCCCGACACTGTGATTGGTTCCAACTCTGAGTCCATGGCCTGGTAAGAAGGAGTCATGCTCCCCCAAATGCTGCTCCAGAGGAGATGGGGGAACCCCAGGACACCTTTGAAGGAGCACAAGGAGTAGGAGGGTGGTACTGCGGGCCCTACTTGGATGGAAAGGTGGTATAAAATGTTGTGAACAAATAATTAAAAAATAAATTGAAAATAAATTGGGGGGGTGAGTCCCCCTTGTTCAGGCTCCCCCAAATGCTGCTGCAGAGGAGATGGGGGAACCCCAGGACACCTTTGAAGGAGGACAAGGAGTAGGAGGGTGGTACTGAGGGCCCTACTTGGATGAAAAGGCGGTATAAAATGATGTAAATAAATAATTAAAAAATAAATTGGGGGGTGGAAGTCCCCCTTGTTCAGGAAGAAATTTTAGACAGGATCCAACCTATTGACGTCAATGGACTAGAGAGGTGTAACTTTGCTTAGGATTGCACTGTGTCTGCTTTTGGATAGTAGACTGTAAACAACCATTCCAGATTAACAATTTAACTCGGGAATGAAGGTGTCTTGAAAGGCTTAAATGTTTGGGAATTCACCTGGGCTGTTTTGTTCATTGTTTCATTCAGGTCCTGAATCGACCGCAATGCCCTGCCCCGAGAACAGCCACTATGAGATTTGTGGAAATGGTTGCCCGGCTACTTGTTCTGACCGGAAGGCTCCCCTCACCTGTGAGGATACCTGTGCAGACATCTGCCAGTGCAACGAGGGCTACGTCCGAGATGGTGAGCAATGTGTCCCAATGGACACGTGCAACTGCACCCACAACGGCATCAGCTACCATCCAGGGGAGGAGTTCTGGGCGGATGAGGGCTGTCATTCTCGCTGCAAGTGTGACCCAAAGCTCGGCAAGGCGGTGTGCCTTAAGTCATCCTGCAAGGCCGACCAGAAATGCACCGTGGTCAATGGAGTCCGGGGCTGTCATACCTTCAGCCACTTAACTTGCATTGGAACTGGAGATCCTCACTACACCTCTTTTGATGGAAAGAAATTTGATTTCATGGGAACCTGCATTTATCAGATGGCAGGCGTCTGCTCCAAAGACCCTGCCCTCACCCCATTTTTGGTCACGGTGCAGAATAACAACCGAGGCAGCAAAGCAGTGTCCTACACCAAAGTGGTGACTCTGGAGGTCTACGACATGACCATCAGCCTGAGCCAAGAATATCCACGCAAGATTCAGGTACAAAAGCTGGGGTGTGAGAAAATCTGGGTATTTTAAATGCTCTCTCTCGTGCTCACTGTCTTTGTCTGTGTGTGCATGTAAGAGAGAGGGAACATTTGCTGATTATTATTTTTCCTTAACATAAAAACAACCCTACCTAGCACATTTTCTACTGTACTTACAAAGATCAGGGAGCACCTTATATTTTAGTTCAAAAAGGTACACCATCCTTCTTATGTTACAAACACTCACATGTCCTTTCTCTTATATGGAGATCAAACTTTGTGCAAGAAACACTGGTTGCTATTTTGATTTTCATTCCTTCTTATGCACACTTTAATTTAGAATACAATTTTGGGGGTCCTCCTGATTCTCTTCCTCTCTCTGTCTCTCTCTCTCTTCTATAGAATGTGGCACTGGCTAACTTGGAATGTTTTTGAACATTCCAACTTCTCAAGAAACAAATATGTCAGAATATTTACTGGTCACCCTCTCTGAGATAAGGGAACATTGTCAGTCTGTTCAGCTCTGAGAGAAAAGGGACTGTTGTCAGTTTGGTTGCAGCTCCTGCATAGGTTCTGGAAACACTAATAGTTTTCTGAGTCAACATGAAGTCTTGAAAGATGTCCCAGTTGGCAGAACAATTGAGGGGTAAGGGGGACAGCGGTAAGGTGGCTGAATGGAGAGGACTAAGTAGGCAGTAAACAGCAGCCACAGGAACCTGAGGAAAGGAGGCTTAAGGAAAAGCTTCAAAGAACAAGGGAAGTAAAACAACAAGGAGAAAGATATAAAGAAAGCAACCTTAGAGCGCACATGGCCAAAGGTCTTTTAAATGAGGTACAGAGGAAGGCAGCGGCCCTAGGCAGGCTAGCCAAAAGATAGCATAGCTAAGAAAATGGGACAGCATAGGCATGAACTGGAAAGCAGGGACCTGAGAAAGTTCATAAACGAGCCATTCTGCCAGCTGAGGACTAAAGAAACAGTGGGAAAATGAAGCAAGGGGAAGCCAAGGGTAAAGCAAGATTGGGACAAACCTTGCATAAGGCTTGGAGCCTGGAAAACTGTCCATCACTGGCAGGTAGGAAGTGGATAGGCTAAGGAGGTTTGCGATGCAATCATTAACACCCTTCTAAATGGACAAAGTTTGAGTACAGTGCCACCTTTAAGATGAACGAAGTTTAATTCTTGGTATAGGCTTTTGTGTGCATGCACACTTCTAAGTGCTTAGGGTTGTACTGGCAAGGGCTTCATCCATATATGGCAGGTAAATGAGCTGAAACACTTTTTCTCTCCCCCTATGCCATCCTCTGACCATGTTCGGCAAGTTAATGTTAAGTAACAAAAATCCACGTGTGTGTGTGTGTGTGTGTTTTGCTGTCAAGCTGCAGCCAATTTACAGTGACTCCTTGGGGCTTTCAAGGCAGGCAGGAGATGTTCAGAGGTGATCTGCCATTGCCTGCCTCTGTGTAGAAGAAGAAGAGGAGGAGGAGGAGATTGGATTTATACCCCACCCTTCACTACCTGAAGGAGTCTCAGAGCGGCTTACAAACTCCTTTCCCTTCCCCTCCCCACAACAGACACCCTGTGGGGTGGGTGGGGCTGAGAGAACTCTGACACAAACTGCTCTTTCAGGAACAGCTGTGCCAGAGCTTGTGACTGACCCAAGGTCACATCAGCAGGTGCAAGTGGAGGAGTGGGGAATCAAACCCGGTTCTCCCAGATTAGAGTCCACACACTTAACCACTACACCAAACTGTATCCTTCACTTTCTTGGTGGCCTGCCATCCAAGTATTGGGATGTTTAGTGTCCTAGATCTGATGAGATTGGGTGGCCTGGGCTATGCAGGTCAGAATATGAGTGTTTTAGTCCACTTAAAAAAAAACAACCCTAAAACTCTGACAGTCTCTTTGGCTTGTCTCCTAGGTCAACGGAGTCTTTGTGGACCTGCCCTTCTCCTATGAAGATAAGCTGAAGGTCTACATCAGTGGAGTCCATGGCTTCATCAAAACAGACTTTGATCTGAGAGTCAGCTTTGACTGGTACAGCTACGCCAGGGTCATCATACCTAACACTTATGCCAATGCGATCTGTGGACTCTGCGGCAATGCCAATCAGGATCCCGGAGACGACTTCGCCATGAAGGATGGAACTCAGACAGCTGATGAAATCCAATTTGCAGATAGCTGGAAAGTGAAGGATGTCCCCGGGTGCTCAGCGGGATGTACCAGTAACTGCCAAGTGTGCGGGGAGGAAGAGAAAGAACCTTACAAGAGTAACAAATACTGCGGGGTCCTCATTCGAAAAGATGGACCATTCAGGCAGTGCCATGAAGCCATTGACCCAACATCCTTCTTTGATGACTGCATCTTTGACACCTGCCTGTACAAGGGTCACCATGACACTCTCTGTAGCGCTATCAGTGCCTACGCGACAGCTTGCCAAGCTCAGGGCATCCGGGTTGGGCAATGGAGATCGGCTTCCTTCTGCAGTAAGTGTCGCCTCCTGTGAAGTCGTTAGAAACTAAGGTGGAAGAGATCCCAATTTAACTTAATCCCATACTTGGGGTTAATTTAGGGGAGGGGCTGTGGCTCAGTGGCAGAGCATCTGCTTGGCATGCAGAACTTCCCAGGTTCAATATCCAGCGTTTCCAGTTAAAAAGATCTGGCAGTGGGTGATGTGAAAGACCTCTGCCTGAGACCCTGGAAAGCCATTGCCAGTCTGAGTAGACAGTACTGACTTTGATTGACCAATGGTCTGATTCAGTATAAGGCAGCTCTGTATGCAATTTATTTTTTAAATAGTTCAGATATATGTGACAAGGATCCCAATTTATTTACTGTAAAATGTTTAACCTGCCCTTCTCCTAACAATGCAGTATTGTGGGCAGTTGACAACAAGATTAAAAACATTCAGTTGGTCTTCCCAATTACCAAACAACCTTTTTAAAGATGAAAGTGTAGTTGACATACCTATTTCCCCTTCTGAACTGATTACTAACTCTCAGTTTTATGAGAACATTGACAAAGGAACAGAGGTACTTTTACCTGTATAGCCTGAAGTGACAGTATGTAAATCTAATAACAATGTCTGTGTTGTATGCAAACAAGACATTATTACGGAGATAACACACGATTGACTCTATGCATCTCAAGTGAAGGTATTATCCTGGAATATAGGTGGTTGAATGTCTACAGCCCCAAAATCTGATGCTGATGGTTTTTAAAGAAATCCATATTATATTACTCCAGGAAACTTGGTCGATTAATGTCATATTTTCAGTTAAGGCTCAAGTAGGTAATAACGGAAGGTGCCCAAAAGCGGGTCTAACGTTTAATTTCTAACACATTACAATATAACTTAATAGAGCTGACTAAGTTACCTTATATTAGAAATGATCCCCCTACATTATAAATATATCTTTTATTTTTTAAAAAACAGAATAATAGTAACAGAGAAAGGATACAGAAAGGAAACAAGGGGATTATATAACATAATTATGCATATCAAGAACGATCATATTTGACAGAATGTATGAAACAGAAAATATTTCTCTCCAACGTCCCCTTCATTATAATTATTATCTGTAAAATATAATAGTCCTTACTTCTGTTGGGGTACATTTATATTCAACAGCTTAAATTTCAAACTTCATATCTATTTTGCAACTACATCATTGGTTTCTTCAGTTTTACAATTAATTGCATGCTCACTGTTAATTTTTGCAGATATATATCTCATAATAATGAAATTAGGAAAAGATGCTCTCCCCAAAGTCCAGTTCCCTGCACATATTTATGTTCAAAATATTAAATTTAAAACAAATTCTTATTCTGCTTCTATCTCATTAACATACCTTTGTATATAATGTTTTAAACTGCTTCTCAGTCTAGATTGGTTTCCTGGCATAGTACACATAATACACACTCCATCTCTCCTCAAATTTCGTATTTGACCTGTTTCTCAAATAGGATGTTAATTTTGCCGTTATTGCATATGCAATTTTATTTTCCCAGTCTTCTAAGTGTGGACAGACATCTAGTTTTCATTTTGCTGAGCTGATCATTCTAGCCACTGTAACCTGTATTTGAATAGGTCTTCTAAAAATTTTGGCAGTTTATTAGGCACCTAGTAGCATGGCAGTTTATTAGGAGGGGGGAGGAGGAGATTGGATTTATACCCCGCCCTTCACTACCAAAGGAGTCTCAGAGCGGCTTACAAACGCCTTTCCCTTCCCCTCCCCACAACAGACACTTTGTGAGGTAGGTGGGGCTGAGAGAACTCTTGACAGAAACTGCTCTTTTTCAAGAACAGCTGTGCCAGAGTTATGGCTTGCCCAAGGTCATCCAGCCAGGTGCAAGTGGAGGAGTGGGGAATCAAACCCTGTTCTCCCAGATTAGAGTCCGCTCACTTAACCACTACACCAAACTGGTACACCTAGTAGCATGTTCTTAGCTTCCATTGGGAATTTAAACTTTAGGCTGTGATCACACGCACCTTTAGATCTGACATAGCTGCGAAAGCCTGATAGATCTAAAGGGGATGATCAGACAGCAACATCTGGGAAAGGTCCAACAGTCGTCAGCAACCCATGCTGCTAGGGTTGCCAAGTCCATCTTCCACCTCCAGTGGGGGATTTTGGGGGCGTTCCTGGAGGGGGCGGGGCATCCCCGATGTGATGACGTCACGTTGGGGACATCCGCCCTCCCCCCACCCACCCGTGCGCCGGATCTCCAGAAACGGCAGTTCCCTGCACTTAAAGGAGCCAGCGTTTCCCTTTTAAATGTAGGAGCTGGCGTTTCCCCTTTAAGAGCAGCCGCATTTTCCTTTTAAGAGCATGAAGCTGGCAGGGCTTGGGAGGAAACACGGGTTCCACACACTTAAAGGGAGAGAGATGGCTGGCTGTGGGTGTTGGGGGTGGGGGTTGGCAACCCTACATGCTGCTCTGCCACAGAAGCGAAGTTAAAGGACACTGAGGAAAGTCCGGCTCTGGTTGCGACGGGCCACGGATAGAGTTTCCCCTGTCTGATCACTCAAGAACACTCTCATGCCATCGGGATGGTCTGATCAGGCCATCCCGACTCCGTGCCGTTGTTTCTCTTCCCCCTTCGCAGTATACGCATCATCGCAGACTCCATAGGGAGCCCTCAGTGTGGAGGTGTGATTCCTCGTTTTTGCGCAAGGGAAACAAACACCACCACCACCCCCACAACTCACCTGCAGTTGTGTCTGATCACACCAGCCCACCCCTCCCTTCCAGAGAAAGAGAGAAGGAACTCCTCAGAAATATCCTCGTGGGGTTCTGCAGAGGGAGGGGCTAAATTGGTGGAAATTGGCACAATTCTACAGATAAGTACTGGTACCTTTTTTATCCCCCTCGGGCTCGGGGGGAAAAAAAGATTGCATTTAGAAATGCTAATCCAAATGGCTTGTCATGCATATCACACTGGAAAGTGTGCATTTTATATAAAGGGCTCTAGTGTCTTGACTACAGATCTTGCTAGCATGACAGTCCAAAGATCAGCAGAATTCTCCTTATTCTCTCCTTCCAGGCCTTCCCTGTCCACGTAATTCCCATTATGAACTCTGTGGAAACGGCTGCCCTGAAACCTGCAACAGCCTTTTTACTAAAACAACATGTGAGTCTGGTTGCACCGAAGGATGCTTTTGTGATTCTGGATTTGTCCTCAGTGGGGGTCAGTGTGTCCCTCTTGCAGAGTGTGGCTGTGTGCACCATGGCAGATACTACAAGAGAGGAGAAGAATTCTACCCTGACACTTCTTGCAGCGCGAAATGTCACTGCACGCACCATGGGGAGGTTGAGTGTGAAAAGTTCTCCTGCGGATCACATGAGGAATGCAAGGTGGAAAATGGCATCCAAGGCTGCCATCCAGTGGGATACGGAACAACTATAGCATCTGGTGACCCTCATTACATTTCCTTTGATGGACGAAGTTTCAGTTTCCATGGCTCCTGCACTTACACCTTGGCCAAAGTGTGCAGTGAGGATCCTCAGCTGGAGCGCTTCTCAGTATTGGTGGAAAACGATAAGTCCAATGGTGGTCCGGCAGTTCTCATAAGGAGTGTTGTGGTTTCCATTCATGGGCACACTGTTGTCCTTGAGAGAGGAATGAAGTGGAAGGCGATGGTATGTTCCTTGCATGTAACAGTCTGCTACATATATGTAGATCATTTGTGAAAAATACCATGTGCACAAACATGTCTCTCTGTGTGAGAGATCAGAACTAATCTCCTATTGATATTTCTTGTTGTCGATGATGCAGGTGGATGGAGAGCTACACACACTGCCAATGAACAGGGACGAGGGGAAACTCTGGATTACCCAGGAGGGGAACAATATCATCATCCAGTCCTCCTTTGGCTTCACAATCCTTTACGACACTCTCTCTTATGTCCGTGTGTCTGTCCCCAGCACCTACCAAGGACACATGTGTGGTCTGGGTGGCAACTTCAATGGAGACAAGAGTGATGATTTCATGCTCCCTAATGGAGAACTTGCTCAAAATGTGGTTGAGTTTGGGGCCTCTTGGAAGGTCCCCATAGATGGTGTCAGCTGCTCTGATGACTGTGGGGAGAAATGCCCTACCTGTGATGCTGTCAAGACAGCACCGTACAAGTCCCAACGCTCCTGTGGCCTCATTCTGTCTACGACGGGCCCATTCAGAGACTGCCATCGATTGGAGAGCCCCACTCACTACTTTGAGCACTGCCTGTATGACCTGTGTGCTGCTGATGGGGCTCGAGAATCCCTCTGTCGGAGCGTCCAGGCCTATGCCACTGCGTGCCAGGCAGCTGGTGCAGAAGTTGGATCCTGGAGAACAGATGCCTTCTGTTGTAAGTTTTTAAAAAATGAATCCCCTTTTCTAATTTTCTCACAAAGGTGACTCCCCTAGACAGAAAATGAGCTGCCTGAAATAATGGTTGAAACTATGCACGATTACTTCCCACTGCTCTGCTTCCAATTACATGCAGCCTCCCCTATGTTAAGAGTTGCCTCCCTTTCCTAGAACTGCTTTCAACTCAATTCTTTGTTGTTGTTGTTGAATTTGTTTATTTTCCTTTCCATTGCTTCTTCACCTTCTGCTTTTCTACATTGCCCCCCAACTTTCTTTAGCCTGTGTTTTGTCTGTGTGGATTTGGAAACTAACTCATCAAAATACTACCTGACCAATTATTTAATATTGGACTTTAAACTGATCCGGGGAGGGAAGGTGGCACAGTATTGCCCAGTCTTGTCAGATCTCAGAAGCTAAGCGGGGTAGGTACATGAAAGGAGGACCATCGAGGAAGACTCTGTAGAGGAAGAAAATAGCAAGCCACCTCTGCTTCTCACTTGCCTTGAAAGCCTTTTGCTGGAGTCCCCATAATTTTGCTGCAATTTAATGGCACTTAACACACTAACAAAATTATTTCTGAAATTCAGTCATGAACTAACCAGGCAAAATAAGTCTTCTTTTTGTCATCTTGCCATTTGGTTTATTTTTCCAGGCAAGAGAAATGTTGGTGAGGGGGGGGGGAAGTAACTCTGCCCATGTATACCTGAGAGGAATGTTGACCAACCATAACAGTTAGCTCATGTTCCCACCAAAATGGATCAGACCAACCGGCATTTCTGTGCATAGCATTTCTGCCAATCAGTACACATCTCAATGGCTTGGGGAGGGATTTGTTTCAATCTATAGGAGGACTGGCCCTGTTTGCCCTACGCATAACCACATCGGCTGTCTAAAGGAAGTCGATGAAGATACCATTCACATTTCTTTTGATCTTGCAACTTTTGATCTTTTTTCTCCCTGATCCCTGGGGGGGTGGGGGTTTGACCACCCTCTGCAATAGTGCCTCAACTCAGAAAGGGCTCCTTCAAGGCCTCGGAATGAGAGGGGCGTGGGTTCTACTTCACCTTCCTCCTCCTCTCAGCCATCTGGTCCCCTCTATGACCTGGACCCAGTGGCCCTCTTCCTCACCAGCCTGTCAGCAGGAGCCCCATTTTATTTCCTCCCTCCACCTGTTGACCCTGCTCCCTCCACAGTGAATGGCTGCTTCCCTTCTCCTTCCCCCTGGTGTTGTGGGGATTGGTTCGGAGCCTGCTGGCTCAGTCCCAGACATCGCCCCACCACCTACCCGAGCATCTTCCTTGCCCACTCTGCCCTGCCCTTGGCTGTTCTGGCCTGGCTCCAGGGAGCACATTGGACAAACCACTCCCAGCTCCCAGCTCCCATCTGCTTCCTGCTGCTGGGGCCATCTCCTCTGCTGCAGCCACTGTCTTGCTGTTGCCACCGCCTGATGACACCCGGCCCCTGCTGGCCCCCCAGGAGAGTGCCTCTGGTGTTTCTGCTTCAGACACGGTGGAGGTGGGCTCCCAGGATGTCCGGGCGTCAGGGCTGTCTACATCTCTGCCTGCTTTCCCGGCCCCTTTCCCATTAGGGTTGCCAAATGGGGGCGGGGGGTGGGGAATCCCCTGTTTCAGAGGCCCGATTTCCGCGGCGGAATCGGGCCCCGGGGGGAACTCCGCCCCCGAAGCTGCGTCACCAGAGCCACGGCACTCACGTTGGGGGTGTGGCCCACATCGTCGGGGGGAAACCATATGGTTTCCCCCCCGACAATCTGGGCCACGCCCCCAATGTGAGCACGTAGCACGTCACTTCCTGCGCATCCATCAAGAACTCCCGGACCCCAGCGAGGCTCCCCCGCTCCGAGGGGTGAGTCGACTTGGCAACCCTATTTCCCATCCTGGAGGTTGTTAGCATGGGTGAGCCCGGGCATGGGCCTGTCCTCTCCAGCTGCAGTGGCACCACCCATCTGTGTTGCTCCGCTGTTTGGGTTTTTTTTTTTGTATAAATATTTTTATTATTATTGTTATTATCGTTCCGGTTGTACATTTTTGTATTGCATTGTGCTTTGACAGCTTTCCCCCTCCTCCCCCCTCCCTCCAGTCTGTTGTTTTTAGTCCTTTTCTCTCAGCCAGGGGCATAATGTTTGGAGCTTCCACTGAACGTCGTTCCTTTGTTCTTCTTCCATCCACCTCCAGTATATGGTCCATTTCTCTTGGATTGTTGCTCTTCTGTCTTCCCACGGCATGTCTTGGTTAATTATGGAGATTATATCTGATTGGATAATTTCAAACAGATAGTTAAGCCAGTTTCTCTCTGTCCACTTACTTACATCTTTCCAACCTGCTGCTATAACCGCTTTACCTGCTGGGACCATTGCTTTCAGTAACTCTTGGTGCTTTTTCTCTATTGTCTCAGATCCTATTGTACTTATTAACATTAAATCAAGATCTATGTTTATATTCAACGCAAATAATCTATTCATTTTTCCTACAATATTTCTCCAATTTTTTTTAACTTCTAAGCATTCCCACCACATATGTGAATACCACCTTTTTACATTCTTACAGTGCCAACAGTTAGGGCTCAGTCCTGGAAACATATTTGCCAGCGTGGCTGGGTTGTGTTGCTCCGCTGTTCACCCTGCTGCTCACCCCAGTCCCAGACAACTACACACACACACACACACACACACACACACACTCTAATTGATAAGTGTTCCTCTGTTTTCTCTTTCTGCAGCCCTTACCTGTCCAGCCAACAGCCACTATGAGACATGCACCACAACTTGTGATTCCACCTGTGCCAGCTTGTCCACTGCAGCCCAGTGCACAGGGAAGTGTTTTGAAGGCTGCCAGTGCAATGACGGCTATGCATTTGATGGGGACACATGTGTGCCTTTGAATAGATGTGGCTGTGTGCACAATGGGTTCTACTTCAAGGTCAGATTCTGTTCCGGTTGTCCATTTTTGTCTTAAAGAGCTGGCATAGCTGGTCTACATATTGGGAGTTGTCCGCTGGGAGTCAAAATTAAGCAAGTGACAGCACAATCAAGTGCCACCTTCAGAATGACCATAAACATCTCAAGGCACAGGAGGATGGTGAGGGGGGTGGGGGCTGGAATAAAAGCACAATCCAGGGAAAAAACCAAGCCTCCCCAGTAAGGTTGCTAATCTCCAGGTAGGGCCTGGAGATCTCCAAGAATGCCAACCGATCTTCACATGACAGAGATCAGTTCTCCTGAAGAGAATGGCTGCTTTGGAGGGTGGACTGTATAATCTTCTGTTCTCCTCCTCAGACTTCACCTCCCCAGGCTCCATCCCCCAAATCTCCAGGAATGTCCAAACCTGGAGCTGACAGCCCAATTCCCTTATAGTGGTTCCCAAACTATGGAACTCTCTCTCTCGGGAAACTCATTTTCACTCTTTAAATTCCAGGGGATAGGTCAGGAGGACCATTCTCTTTCACATTGATTCTACGGGAACCAAGGATAGGCTGGCTTTGGTTTCTGTTATCTTTTAAAAATCTTGTCTATTGTTTCATTTGTCAGTTCCCTGCACCTTTTTCCTCTGTCCATTTATTTTTTAAAAATTACATCTTGATTTAATATAAGCCAGAGCATGGATCCTTGCTGATGGAAAGGCCCAACATAATTATTTTGAAAACTGCATTGTAAGTAACAAAAAGAGAAAATCAGTATTGGAATGTTCATGCTGCTTTCCCATTCTTCTAACTATACTCACTGACTGAAAGATTTCCCAACAGGCAGGAGAGAGCCTCTTCTCAAGAAACTGCACTGAGAAATGTACCTGCACCGCTTCCAGCCTTTTCACCTGTGAGGAAACCATGTGCCCGGCCGAGCAGTCCTGTGCACTTAAGGACGGCGTGCGGGGCTGTGTGACACAGGAAGGCCAGTGCAAGCTCACCCCGGGAGCACATCTCACCTCTTTTGACGGTGCCTCCGCACAGTACAGCTGTGGTGGCGTCTATGATGTGGTCTCTGTTTGTGATGAAGGCGCCCTCTCCTGGTTCAGGGTGTCAGTGCGCATTGAAGAGAATGCGGAGGAGGAAAGTTTAATCTCTGGGAAGGCTGTCTACGTCCACTTCCAAGAGGCAACTGTCATCGTGAAAAAGAATGGAAGGACATGGGTAAGAGGTCTTTAAGGAAAAGTCTGCCATGGGACAACTCCGGGTTTTCATGGGGCACACAGTATAGCCAGGCCCATCTTGTCCTTCCCTTGGGTACGGCTCCTTCCTCCTCCTCCCTCCTCTAACCACATGCGTTTTCATGATTGACTCTCACTCACCAGCTAATAAAATCAAAGTTAATTACATTAATTGTAAATTGATTAGTGGAACTCCTTAAAAGCTGGCCTTCCCCTAAGGCAGCACTGCACCTCTGCCAGGCTCCAGGGCAAGTGGAGGGGGGTAATGACCAAGTCACTCATATTGTTCAGTTTTCTGGAAGGCAAGTCAGAGGTGGTGATTTGAGGCACTTTGGGGCCAGCCTGGGAGGGAGGGCCCCGGAAAAAATGCTAGGGGGCCAGGCCCCATGGGCCCCACGTTAGCTACGGGCCTGCTCTAACCACATGCGTTTTCATGATTGACTCTCACTTGAGTCTCATAGAATGCCATCCCTAGCACAGTCTAAATCAGTGGGCTCAGAGGGCATAATTCTTCTTAGGATGGCACTGTTATTTGCTTATGTGAACCAGCAACAAATTTATAGAATGATGCAATCTGACAGCCGGGATGTTCATCCTGAGATTAGGAACTTTTCATTCACCTCTGTTACATCTTTCATTAAAAAAAACTTTCTTAGTCTTCAAATGTCAGAATAATAGATATACACACTACACTCGATCTTAGCTGCAAGACAGAGAAGCAATAGACATACATTTTAAAAATCTTGTCTATTGTTTCATTTGTCAGTTCCCTGCACCTTTTTCCTCTGTCCATTTATTTTTTAAAAATTACATCTTGATTTAATATAAGCCGGAGCATGGATCCTTGCTGATGGAAAGGCCCAACATAATTATTTTGAAAACTGCATTGTAAGTAACAAAAAGAGAAAATCAGTATTGGAATGTTCATGCTGCTTTCCCATTCTTCTAACTATACTCACTGACTGAAAGATTTCCCAACAGGCAGGAGAGAGCCTCTTCTCAAGAAACTGCACTGAGAAATGTACCTGCACCGCTTCCAGCCTTTTCACCTGTGAGGAAACCATGTGCCCGGCCGAGCAGTCCTGTGCACTTAAGGACGGCGTGCGGGGCTGTATGACACAGGAAGGCCAGTGCAAGCTCACCCCGGGAGCACATCTCACCTCTTTTGACGGTGCCTCCGCACAGTACAGCTGTGGTGGCGTCTATGATGTGGTCTCTGTTTGTGATGAAGGCGCCCTCTCCTGGTTCAGGGTGTCAGTGCGCATCGAAGAGAATGCGGAGGAGGAGAGTTTAATCTCTGGGAAGGCTGTCTACGTCCACTTCCAAGAGGCAACTGTCATCGTGAAAAAGAATGGAAGGACATGGGTAAGAGGTCTTTAAGGAAAAGTCTGCCATGGGACAACTCCGGGTTTTCATGGGGCACACAGTATAGCCAGGCCCATCTTGTCCTTCCCTTGGGTACGGCTCCTTCCTCCTCCTCCCTCCTCTAACCCAGCCCCGTAGCTAGGGGATTTTTTGGGAGGGGGCCGGGTGGGGGCCACCAGCTAATAAAATCAAAGTTAATTACATTAATTGTAAATTGATTAGTGGAACTCCTTAAAAGCTGGCCTTCCCCTAAGGCAGCACTGCACCTCTGCCAGGCTCCAGGGCAAGTGGAGGGGGGTAATGACCAAGGCACTCATAGTGTTCAGTTTTCTGGAAGGCAAGTCAGAGGTGGTGATTTGAGGCACTTTGGGGCCAGCCTGGGAGGGAGGGCCCCGGAAAAAATGCTAGGGGGCCAGGCCCCATGGGCCCCACGTTAGCTACGGGCCTGCTCTAACCACATGCGTTTTCATGATTGACTCTCACTTGAGTCTCATAGAATGCCATCCCTAGCACAGTCTAAATCAGTGGGCTCAGAGGGCATAATTCTTCTTAGGATGGCACTGTTATTTGCTTATGTGAACCAGCAACAAATTTATAGAATGATGCAATCTGACAGCCGGGATGTTCATCCTGAGATTAGGAACTTTTCATTCACCTCTGTTACATCTTTCATTAAAAAAAACTTTCTTAGTCTTCAAATGTCAGAATAATAGATATACACACTACACTCGATCTTAGCTGCAAGACAGAGAAGCAATAGACATACATAATTTAAAATAACACCAGACCCCCCAAAGCAGTGCAGAATGTGCACCAAATGCCCATTGGAAAAGGAGTGCCTTACATTTTATTTTCAGATTTTTATGCCCCGACTTTTTCTCCCCCAACGGGGACCCAAAGCCCCTCGCAATGTTGCCTGTCTCCATTTTATCTTCCTAACTAAAACTCTATGACTTAGGCTAGTGTGACTGGCCCAAGGTGACCCAGCAAGCTTCCATAGCTGAGTGGGGATGGGAAGTAGGACTGCCAGCTCATGGTTGGCATCCAGTGAGAATCAGGGGGCAGGGATGGGGGGGGGGAGGTTCTCTGTCAATGGTATGATGTAACTTCCTGGGTAAATTCAGGAAAGATGGGCTATCACAGCATCCTGAGGATTCATCTGAATCTCTGCAGTAAAACTACAGCGTTTCCATTGAAATCTACAGTGGCACGACGTCCCTTCTGGGTTCACCCCAGAAATGACACCATGCTGTTGATGCAACAACAATTCTTGCCTTATTTCCCCCCCTACCAAGTGGTAGCAGGGATCAGGAGTGGCCAGCAGGATGTTTCCTGGCAATTCTAACTGGAACTCCAGTCTCCCAGGTTTGACATTAATCACTACAGCACACTGCTTCAGGCCTGTAGCTACAGGGGGGCATTTCAGGGCCTGGCCCCCCTGACTTCCTGCCAAGGCCCCCTGATTTCCATCTAGCCCAAGCCCACCACTGCCCCTGCCACCCCTTGCTTCCTCATCCCCATCCCTGCCCCCTCACCCTGTTACTGCCAGAGCCCCTTGCCTTGCTATGGGAGACCTCCATGGATGAGCGGCTGCCTGCTGCAACTGGCAAGCATGAATGTTTAAAATTTCATTTGTTATTTTTGTGACATCAGTGCCCCCCAGCTTATTTAAAGCCCCCCCCCCCCGAAGGACAAAATCCTGGCTATGGGCTTGCACTGCTTCTCAGCATTCCCTATGGGTGCTCCAAAAACCAAAAGTGAAGGGATTCTGTCCTCTGGCAGTCCATCCCGCAGATTAGAAGCCACCACAGAGACAGCTGAGGACCACGGTGAGCATGTGTCCAATTAACCCACAGAAAGAATTAATAATCCTACAACCCCATGAGTTTAAATGGTAGCATTAAGTGGTCCACAGACATGCAGTTTCAAGTTTATGCACAGCAGACTCCAATATTTCCTCTATTTTGACCACCATTGGTTCTTCCATATGATATCATCCAGTTCCTGCTGGGTTCGAGACATTCGTTCAAAGCCACATCTCTTCCCCCACTCTCCTCTTCCTATGTTCCAGGTCAACGGCCGCTCAAGAAGACTGCCGTACCAGATCTCCCAAGCCATCTCTGTGAGAAGTGTTCAGGATGGCATCTTGATCGACCAGGCCTCTCAGATGCAAGTTCACCTCCACCATGACGGAGTGGTGACAGTCCGGGTCAGAGAGAACCTGGCAGGGAAATTATGCGGCCCCTGTGGAAACTTCAACGGAGACACTGCTGATGACCTGAGAACACCCAACGGAGAAGTGAAGAAGAATATTGCCGAGGTCCTCCGTGCTTGGAAGGCAAAAGATATCTCTCCTTAGTAAGTGGCTCAAAAGACACGGCCTCTTTGCATGAAGGCAACACGCTGACTTGAAGAGCTTTGAGTTCATTCTGGAAGTGATGTGTGTCATCAGGGGTCATTTCGTAGAAAAAGAGCTAGGGGAACTCATTAGCATAACTCATTAGCATATGCCACACACCCT